TGGTCAAATTCACTCCTTTATTTTTCATCTTGCCTGTTTTGGTGTAAATTTTGAAGATCTCAAATTTCCACAACTTACTGCTTAGCAAATACTCCTAAAACATTTTCTTTTAACCTGCTCCCTCACAGCAACGTAACAAAATACTCTCATCCCACCTCACACTAACTCCATAAAGTACCCTCACTCCACCTCACTACACTGGATACCCTCACTCCACTTCACATTAACCACACTAAATACCCTCACTCCACTTCACATTAACTACACTAAATACCCTCACTCCACCTCATATTAACTACACTATATACCCTCACTCCATCTCACACTAACTCCATAAAATAACCTCACTCCACCTCAAATTAACTACACTAAATACCCTCACTCAAACTCACATTAACCACACTAAATACCCTCACTCAACCTCACATTAACTACACTAAATACCCTCACTCCACCTCACACTAATACCACAATACACACTCACTCCATCTCACATTAACTACACTAACTATCCTCACTCCACCTCACATTAACTACACTAAATACCCTCACTCCATCTCACACTAACTCCATAAAATAACCTCACTCCACCTCAAATTAACTACACTAAATACCCTCACTCAAACTCACATTAACCACACTAAATACCCTCACTCAACCTCACATTAACTACACTAAATACCCTCACTCAAACTCACATTAACCACACTAAATACCCTCACTCCATCTCACATTAACTACACTAAATAACCTCACTCCACTTCACATTAACTACACTAAATACCCTCACTCAACCTCACATTAACTACACTAAATACCCTCACTCCACCTCACATTAACTACACTAAATACCCTCACTCAAACTCACATTAACCACACTAAATACCCTCACTCAACCTCACATTAACTACACTAAATACCCTTACTCCATCTCACATTAACTACACTAAATACCCTCACTCCACCTCACCTCACACTAATACCACAATACACACTCACTCCATCTCACATTAACTACACTAACTATCCTCACTCCACCTCACATTAACTACACTAAATACCCTCACTCCATCTCACACTAACTCCATAAAATAACCTCACTCCACCTCAAATTAACTACACTAAATACCCTCACTCAAACTCACATTAACCACACTAAATACCCTCACTCAACCTCACATTAACTACACTAAATACCCTCACTCAAACTCACATTAACCACACTAAATACCCTCACTCAACCTCACATTAACTACACTAAATACCCTCACTCCACCTCACACTAACACCGCAATACACACTCACTCCATCTCACATTAACTACACTAAATACCCTCACTCAACCTCACACTAACTACACTAAACACCCTCACCCCACCTCACATTAACACCATAAAATATCCTCACTCCACCTCACATTAACCCTCATCAAAACATCGCAAGGTTATCCTAACCACTTCTCACACGACTTTCTTCATTTTACATGGTTTCACATTTTATTATCTGTCGTCCATTTGGTTTCACCTTCTTGTCTCCTTTCACCCTCAGTGATGCCCCTTTTCTCCCCTCACTATAGTGAACATTTATTTTATCCTTGTATTGGGATTTTCCGAGATAAATAACAATGTAAGGATTATCTTTCCATGGATAACAGAACACAATATTAACGGCACTTGGTAAAACACAGCTCATTGTGATACGGTGGGCTGACCTCCAAATAATACGTCAAGGTGACCCCATCCAGTATCTGTGTGAGCGTTCTCCATGTGCTATTAACATGTTTACTCCAGCATTCACTGAGCGCTGGTTCAATCTTTGGAGAAATTGTGGGTTATTTCTTAAAAACAATTGTGGGGAAAAGTACAGAAGGTTCACTAATTGCCATGGAAACCTATGAAATATTCTGTGCTCCATTTGTAGAAATGTACCCAATAATTACACCTTAATATATCAAACCTCCAGTACCATCATCGTAGGTCACAGGATAGGTCATCCATCTCCCTTACTTACCAATTATAACCCTTGTCTCTCACTCTTACTTCTACCAAATATGATATGAAGCCCTCTCTCCTACCATCTACACAATAACCCCCCCACCTGCTAACCACAATATACCTCCTTACCTTACAACTAAAATACACCCATTCACATACCAGCTACAATGTACCTACTTCAGCTATCAACTACAATAACCCCTCATCTACCAACTAAAACATATATCCCCTAACATTACAACTACAATACACCCCCTCACACACCAACTACAATATACCCCTTGTGGCGAAACCAACCTCGCCACTGTCCACTGGAGGAGCCTGGTTGCTCGCCTGCTCCCTTTAGACTATGGGCCGGCAGTTAAAACCTTTTATTTTCCCTGCAGAAAAGCGTATTTGTGCCTTTCTGCAGACTGTTAAAGCCATGCTACCCCAGATAGCTATGCCATGGAGCACAGCCGTATACTGAAAGACTTTGGCTCCATGGCGATTGAACTGTATGTACGTGATCTGAGCGCCATCCGGTAACATTGTGCGCTCAGATCTAAGCTATCTGGGGATAGGTAGAATGTGTATGTTCTACGTGATAAATGTAACAGTATGTAATTTTATGTCTTTTACTGTCCTTTGTCTGCCATGTGGCTAATGGAGTTTTGCCTCTGTCCTTGGAGATAATTGGATTACTTCCCAATTACCTCCAGGACAGAGAGGAGGGATTGTGATGCATTGTGGGAGTGTCTGTGATTGGTCAATGTCCAATATGTTTCCCAGTTTTCATCTGGTCCCCTAGGGGAGTGTCCACCAGGTGGGAGACCTGCGTAAAAGCCGGGCAGGTAGCCCCAGTAAATCAGTTCCTGCTTGACCCTCAAAACGAAGTGTCGTCTCATTATTGGGGGAATTAGATTGTATGCTGATTGCCAGGAGTGTAATCTGATTGTATGCTTTTCCTTGTATGTACGTAGTGGGCATTGGATAGCATTCCCTTCATCACCGATAAAACCATAACTTACCCCTTCAAATAACAACAGACAACTTCTTTTAGAAAACAGGCCACAGCATTTATTAACACAACCAAATACTGTATGACTCCTTTAACATATAACGAAATAATAAATATCATAAATTAACATAAACTATTTGCATATAGTCATACAGTAACCAAATAAACCGTCCTTGCCAATCTAACTTCCCCAAGGCTCTCACCTGCCCCCATCGGCATAATAAAAACATCTGCCTTTTCAGGGCTCCCCACCAACTCGGTGGGGCCCAACCATAATGCTCCCCACTGGTCGACTTACAACCCAGTGGGGACACGTCCAACCTGGTACCTCCTCCAGGTTCACCATAAGAGTCAGGGGGAGGATGAAAATTATCCCCCTTTTTCATCTAATATATCAAACCATCCCTTATTTGGCTAGGACAGACCCCCGCCTTACTGTGACAACCCCCCACCCACCCCCCCGGGCCCAAAACAGCAAAGGGAGGGTGGGTGGGAAACTTGTTGCTGGCCCGGCTCCTAAGTGGCACTGAGGTCAGTCTGATCTGTCACCACCCACTTCCTCATATCTCACACTCCCACATGTAGCATATAGCCAATCATGCATCATCCATCCCACACTCATACATGTGCCCCTGTCCGCTAAGCTGCGCACTCTCCCTGGGGCCTGTTCGGCTGTTTCCAGTATTCGTGTGTTTCCTGTTCGGAAGTTGGTGAATTCGTGTAGTTTGCATCTGGAAAGGGGAATATCGCCTAAACAGTTTTTAACCTCTTGTATGCAAAACTGTCCGTTACAATTGGTGGCAAGCGACGGGATCATTTCCACAGCCCAGAAGGACAGCTACAAGATAACACCAGTTCCTGGATTATAAATTGAGGGCAACGCTAGTACCCGTACAGCGACCCTATCTACAAAAGAAGCAACTGCAGCAGAGCAAGCATGGCGCCCAACTACACAGGCGTTTGACAGAGAGGTTACCGCGCTGCTGGCTTTCTACGGACCCAACCCCCCAGAGAAAACCGTACAGTTCGTGAGGAAAATAGTGGGAGAGTACTTGCCGTTGGAATCAGAGCGGGCAAGGGGGTGGGCCGTCCGTCCTCTCCAGCGGCAGTGTGTGTTACAGGGAACTGAAGGTGTCGTCCTTCCTCCCCAGCAGCCGAGTAAGTTACAGGGAGCTGAAGGTGCCGTCCTTCCTCCCCAGCGGCAGTGTGTGTTACAGGGAGCTGAAGGTGCCGTCCTTCCTTTTTTGGAATGTCCAATATGTTTCCCAGTCTTCCATCTGGTCCCCTAAGGGAGTGTCCACCAGGTGGGAGACCTGCATAAAAGCCGGGCAGGTAGCCCCAGTAAATCAGTTCTGCTTGATCCTCAAACGAAGTGTCGTCTCGTTCTTGGGGGGAATTGGATTGTATGCTGTTACAGTGCGACTGCCAGGAGTGTAAACTGTTGGTATGGTTTTTCCTGTTTGGCTGTTTACAGCATTCGTGTGTTTCCTGTTCGGGAGTTTGGAGCATTCCCCTGGTTCCAGTTCGGGAGATTGGTGAATTCATGTGTTTGCAGTTCGGGAGATTGGTGAATTCATGTGTTTGCAGTTCGGGAGATTGGTGATTGCAGTAGCTGTCTGTGCATCTGAAAAGGGGAATATCGCCTAAATGGTTTTTAACCTCTTGTGTGCAAAACGGTCCGTTACACCTACCTGATCTCACCAACTACAATACAGCCCTACCCGTTCTCACCAATCACAATACAGCCCTACCTGATCTCACCAACTACAATACAGCCCTACCTGTTCTCACCAACCACAATACAACTCTACCCGATCTCACCAAATACAATACAGCCCTACCTAATCTCACCAACTACAATACAGCCTACCCGATCTCACCAACCACAATACAGCTCTACCTGATCTCACCAACTATAATACAGCCCTACCCGATCTCACCAACTACAATACAGCCCTACCCAATCTCACCAAATACAATACAGCCGTACCCGTTCTCACAACTAGAATACAGCCCTACCTGATCTCACTAACTACAATACAGCCCTACCCGATCTCACCAAATACAATACAGCCCTACCCGATCTCACCAAATACAATACAGCCCTACCTGATCTCACCAACTACAATACAGCCCTACCCGATCTCACCAACTACAATACAGCCCTACCTGATCTCACCAACTACAATACAGCCCTACCTGATCTCACCAACTACAATACAGCCCTACCTGATCTCACCAAATACAATACAGCCCTACCCGATCTCACCTACTACCTGATCTCACCAACTACAATACAGCCCTACCTGATTTCACCAACTATAATACAGCCCTACCCGATCTCACCAACTACAATACAGCCCTACCTGATCTCACCAAATACAATACAGCCGTACCCGTTCTCACAACTACAATACAGCCCTACCTGATCTCACTAACTACAATACAGCCCTACCTAATCTCACCAACTACAATACAGCCCTACCCGATCTCACCAACCACAATACAGCCCTACCTAATCTCAACAACTACAATACAGCCCTACCCGATCTCACCAACTATAATACAGCCCTATAGAAAAAGGTAAAAAAGCCAAAGGCAGTTCACCTATATGAGTGGAGCAAATAGTGATGGTAACAGGCACCTACCCAACTTAAAGGGTCATCTGGTCCTAATATTGTAAAGATCACTTCCAATTTCAGCATATATATAACAAAGAGAGAAACATATACAAAATCATAGTGCAACTCTGTATAACCATATAGAATTTATATAGTAATCCTGAGAAGTGCCAACTCACGTATTCCAGAGCCCAAATAAGGATGGGCTCAGATCACTTGCGCTTTTTGGTACCGTCTGGTGGTACTATCCCCTTTCTTTTGAGCACGTAGGTAAATCACCTCAGAAATAAAATATGTATAGGGGAAAACCAGTATAGTGCAGTAATTTCATCGCCGCGTCACATCCGGTACTCGCGGTCGCCATTTTACTTATGGGCAATAGTATGGGAAAAGAGACAGAACGCTAATACATCGCGTTTGTCACTTTCCCTATGCCCCTTAATCAATATGGGTCAATCAATTCATTTGAAGACATTTTTCAAAACACATAAAAACTGAATGGAGCTTATAGCTCCTAATTGTTACCAAATGTACAATTTCAAATACATAAAAGGCTATTAAAGGTATCTTTTAGTCACAGCTTGATCTTAAATTAAAACATTGCTGTATTATCTTATTAAAACATATATATATATTGTAATATTAAAACAAATGTATAAAATACATATATTATTTAGAATAGTATTACAGAAAATGACACATTTCAAAATCACTGTTGAGGCCAGTGGGACTCATAGTATTGAGGTCAAAAATCCACCTCATTTCCTGTTGTCCCATTTTCCTTATTGGATCTTCGCCTCTTCAGTTAATATTTACAATTTGTATGCCTATAAATTCTAATTGGGTTGGATCACAGTTGTGTTTATATTTAAAATGCGCAGACAGGCTATGTTTATCAAAACCCTTCCTAATATTGCGAATATGTTCTTGTATTCTTATGTGGAGGGATCTGGTAGTTCTACCTACATAATTCAAACCACATTTGCATGTAATAAGATAAATAACTTGTAGCGGATGGCACCAGGCGACCCTACAAAAATACTGTATAAAGCTGCATCCGTGTATCTGCTGTATTTTCTGTGTATTGAAAAAGAATTGTATTCCTCTGATTGTTCTGTAGTTTCATTCCCTTAGTTTATTCGAATGAAACTACCGAACAA